ATGGGGGAGAGGGTCCCCGGGAGCAGCGTGGACCTGCGGTGGGAAAAAGGCTTGGGGGTCAGGGGAGAGAGAAAGAGAGAGAAAGGGGAGGCCAGGCTAACACACACATACACAGATTAATTCCAAACGAAAATCGAAACCAACCAAAACTGAACTCATAAAAAGAAGAATAAATGGCTTAAACCGAAACCAAAGAATTGTAATAAACCAAAGGAAATTAAGAGATCCATGCAAACTTTCCCAGGCTCACAAATTAACTGGCTGCTACAGCGTCATCCCTTGTCCCCAGGAGGCGAACAGGCAGCAGTGCAGCCCCTGCCTGCGCCGGGCAGCGCCTGCCTGCAGCCTGGGGCTGGGGTTTTGGGGTGCAAAGCGTAAGGACCAAACCCTGGCACCCCGGGGCACCCCAGGCAGGCAGCTCGCTTTCCCTCTGTGCGTTCACCTCTACTCATCCCTCTCTTATTTTTAATTTTTCTTTTTTTTTTTTCCTCTCATAGTGATCCCTATCTCTTTTCGCAAGTTTTTGCCTTGTGTTTCTCCCCCCCGACAGCCGCGGGCCGGCGTGGGGGTGAGCGGGAGTGCGAGAGGGCGGTGGGGAAAGCCAGGGGCTACTTACACTTCACTTGCAGGATCTGGTCACTGAGGTTGGCCTGGATGTAGTAGGTGCTGTAGGGAGGCAGAACTAGCCCCAGGCTGTGGAGGGATAGAACAGACAGGTGGTGTAAGGCTTTACACCCACCCAGAGCCCTTGGTCGGCCCCCAGTCCCTGCCTGGCACCCCCCGGCAGCACCCAGCCCCGGCCGATGGCAGGCGGCCGCTCCGCTGGCCTTCCGCACACCCTGGTGCATCCTTCTCTCCAGGGACTGCACCCAGCGCTGTCCTGGGGGCAGCCAGGATCATCCCTAGAGTGCCGAGGGTCATCCTGGGGCATCCAGGGTCATCCCCAAAGCACCCAGGGCCATCCTCGGAGCACCCAGGGCCATCCTGGGGCATCCAGGGCCATCCTTGGAGCACGGAGGGCCATTCTGGTTGCACCCAGGGTTATCCCCAGTGCACCTACTGCCATCCTGGGGCACCCAGGGTCATCCTGGGTCACACATGGCCATCCTGGTGGCACCCAGGGTTGTCCCCAGGGCACCTAGGGTCATCCGCAGAGCACCTACGGTCATCCTGGTGGCACCCCTGAGCACAGGAGGTGGCAAACCTGTCCAGCCAGGGCTGAGATGGGCAGGACGCGCCCGCCTGGGAACAAAGGGAGATGCACGTGGAAGAGGGACACAACATCCCCCTAAGGGAGGAAGGCAGGAATAGACACAGCCCTCGAAAGAAGGGACAAAACCTTCTCGGCGAGGAGAGATCAAAGACACCCATTACACAGGCACCTGCTACTGGTGAGCCAGCAAGGACAGGGGTCCACCAGACAGGAGTCTGGCATGCAGGGTGCAGGATGGGGGTGGGAAAGGAGGTGGCAGGAGC